GAGAACAGCCTGACGTCGCTGACGCTGCAGGACTGCGGCCAAGTGCTGCCCGGATGTAAGTCGATATATGTGTGTGTGTTAAAAATTACGATAATGACAGGTTAGGCCACCTTTTTTTGTTTTGTTGGTTCACGACTTATGCGAGTTTTACTGTATATACTTTATATTTTACCCAGCCCCCTGTTCAATTTTATATCTAGAAAATAACCCAGTTGAACTACACTCCAAAGTACATACCATGGGTCCATATTCAATACATGTGTGTTTATATTTGTGCAGCTATGATGGTCGTGGTGGCACTCAAGAGACAGCCGTACGCACGCACGCACGCACGCACACGCACGCACGCACACACACATACATATACATGTGTGTTTATATTTGTGCAGCTATGATGGTCGTGGTGGCACTCAAGAGACAGCCGCACGCACGCACGCACGCACGCACGCACGCACGCACGCACACACACCCTCACACCACATACATATACATGTGTGTTTGTATTTGTGCAGCTATGATGGTCGTGGTGGCGCTGGAGGGACAGCCGTACGTGTGCAAGACGGACGAGGTCGGGGAACTGTGCATATCCGCCGGCTCCACGGGCGGCAGCTACTGGGGCTTGCTAGGTCTCACCAATAGCTGCTTCAAGGTGAGTGTAATTAGCGGAGACAGAGAGCATGAGGCAGAGTGAGACCGTATATAGCTAGTACTGACATGATGTGTTGTCCACAGTGGTTTGGTAGGCAGTATACATAGCTACTGGGGCTTGCTAGGTCTCACCAATAGCTGCTTCAAGGTGAGTGTAATTAGCGGAGACAGAGAGTGTGAGGCAGAGACAGTATATAGCTAGTACTGACATGATGTATTGTCTACAGTGGTTTGGTAGGCAGTATACATAGCTACTGGGGGGCCTGCTAGGTCTCACCAATAGCTGCTTCAAGGTGAGTGTATAAACATGCAGGGAGAGAAACTGAACCATATAGAAGTAGAGGAAGAGATCGGTATGAAGACCTAGTACTGACAAGATGTGTTGTTCATAGTTGTTTGGTAGGCAGTATACATAGCTACTGGGGGGCTTGCTAGGTCTCACCAATAGCTGCTTCAAGGTGAGTGTATAAACACGCAGGGAGAGAAACTGAACCATATAGAAGTAGAGGAAGAGATGGGTATGAAGAGGCAGAGGCAGTAGCTGTTACTAACATGTGTTGTCCACAGTGGTTTGGTGTTGGTAGGCAGTAGTTACGCTCAAGGGGTCGTTGTCATATCAGGTACTACAGATATGTACCCGAGGTACATATATGTATACACAAAGTG